GGTCAAGACATCCCAATCGAAGATGGCCCAACATCAAGAAAAATCCTATTAAGATTACACTTGTGGGCAAAGATAGAAACAATTGAAGAATAAATATAATCCACTCATGAAGCACAACATCTTCCTTTGACTTTTGACTCATGATGGATGTGATTTTATCAAAGCACGGAAAATGGAAATATTAAAGAAAAGGAGATAATAACGAAAAAAAGGAAAGACATCCCTAAAAAAAAAAGAAATCGACTCTTTAAAAATCATGTGATTGCATAATAGACCCTAACAATGCTTCAAATCACAAACACTAAATATTCAAGTGTTCCAGTTCCCAAGAGTTATTGTGAGGGTTCTTTCAAAAATACATTTGAAGTATGAGACACAATAAAGATGCAAATTATCAAGAAACTATAATACATTCTCTTAACTTTTTAGAGCAACTAAAAGAGTGGTCGATAAACGAGGCAAATACGACAAACCCTTTCTCCACCATACAAAAGCAATGACTTGAGAGGAAACTATTTTGGATCGACTAGAATGACCATCGACGAACCACTCAAAGGGAACTATAACTCATCTAAAGTATTCATAGTGCATGGGAACTACCATATAGAATAGTGCACGCAATCTAAATCCAAAATGCATCCAAGAACTCTCCGCATCACACAACTAATACACAATTTCAAATTTAATTTTCATTGACTATTTCTCTTTATATATTGACTTAAGCGTTAAAGTGATAATATTATAAATTAACCTCCTATCGAAAGCTGAAATCCACTCTAATTCTCCATAGCCTTTGATTCACCATCCATAAGAATAGTAGTTACTATTATTTTCCAAAAAAAATAGTAAAATAGAAAAGTAGTCATAAAAACAAGTGAGGGCAATTTGGGAAACAAAAGAGTAATTGAAGTAGCATTCATTCATTGTTTCATAGGTAAATACCAAGTCACCACCAATAACCAGTCTTCCTCCATCTGTCTTTCAAAACTTACTTTTCTTCCGCAAAAATCTCAACCACATCACAATCCTCATTCTTCCAATTCAATCCAATTTTCTTTCTTTTTTTCACAAGATTTTAATTCTGATCTTCAATGGCTTCTCGCCGCCGCATGTTGTTAAAAGTCATAATCCTCGGAGACAGTGGGTAATATATTCTTCTTCTTAATTCAAATTCCCAATCTTCATTAATCGATTTTTTCTCAAAACGGAATTATTAGGTTAAATAGAAGTTATTAATGTGCGTCTTTGAATTTTTATTGTGAAAAAGTACTTTTTATGTTATAATTCAACAGATTTGCAATTTTCTTCATATCATCAATTTTAGATTCATATTTATTGACTTTTTTTTTTTTTTGGATTTGTTTTGTTTTGCAGGGTTGGTAAAACATCGTTGATGAATCAGTATGTGCAAATTTTGGATTTTGATTAGTAATTTGTTGAAATGTTTGATGATTTTTTTTATTGATTTGCATGATCATGATTGTTTTTTTTTTTTTTTTTTGTTGATTTGCATTTAGGTATGTGAATCGGAAGTTTAGTAATCAGTATAAGGCTACCATTGGTGCTGATTTTCTCACCAAAGAAGTTCAATTTGAAGACAGGTTGTTCACATTGCAGGTGAGACAGAGATACACAGAAACATGCTTTGATCAATTTCATCACCACTTTGTATATAATCTAAGGTGAATTTTAGCTTATAGAAGCCATGTGTGATCGTTTACAACCCGTGTTCTCCGTTTCCATTTCCCTGGGTAAAATAGATAACCCCAGGGATTGGCCTAGCGGTGAAAGCTTGGGTTCTGGGAGTGTGTTCCTCTTAAGGTATTAGGTCCGAATCCCGTTAAGCTTTGCCCTGGCTTTATACGGAACTCCCGCAAGTGGACGGTGGAATTGGTCTCCTTGGATTAGTCGGTCGCAAGGCCGGATACCATGATTTCAAAAAAATATAGTTAAATAATAAATATTAGAGAAGATATTATGGAAGTTTCTGAAAATGCATTTTTGAAATAGATTGAATATTTATGGTTTTAAGTGTTTTCGGAAATTTATTCTGTCTAGTTAGCTTCCCGTATTCTAACAAAACAATTGATCTCAAACCCCTATCTCGTAAACCCTGTAGTTGGAGTTGCTGGTTACTCCTACTCGTCACATACCATCACAACTCGATGGATGTTCTCCTTCACTTCCCTAAGTGCTGCTGTGAAAGGATCGATTTGTTCCTCAATGGAAATGGCTCAGATCAGATCTTCATCTGTTTAAATCTGCAGCAGATCCAAATCCAGTTTTGCGTATTGCTTCTAGCTGGAAGCTCTTTAGTTTCAGGAATTGAAATAAGTAATCATTGTCTTTTTGAATAGCTTACAAACTTATTAGTTTGTTTGCTGCTTCAAATTTTGCTGATATGTTTTTATTTCCAGTTACAAAAATGTTTTGTTCTTCGGATTTCATGAATAGAGTTATGAACTTTGTCTCTTCTGCTTTGAAGGGAAAACTCTTGGATTACGATTTGTTGTCAATACTAACAGATTTTTGTCAAATTTAGGCAAGTGAAAGGTTATAAAACTAAAACTTGGAATGAAAAGAAAGTATCCTAGTTTTTTGTCGTAAAATTAATGTCATTATGTCGTGTGAACTATAATAAGATGTCCATTGTGCATGTGTTTGATGATGGTTGCGACTAGTTCACTTTCTACTTGATGAAAGATCAATGTATGTTTGGTTGTATCTTTTTTGCCGTGATATTCTGAGATTTAAGGCATGATATAAATTAATTATTGTCTAAGATTGAAATGTTCTCTGATGTAAATAATATGTATTTTTAATTTTTGTATTCCAATTACACATGCAGATTTGGGATACTGCTGGTCAAGAGCGGTTTCAGAGTCTTGGTGTGGCTTTCTACCGTGGTGCTGATTGCTGTGTCCTCGTTTATGATGTTAATGTCCTGAAATCTTTTGAAAACCTTAACCATTGGAGAGAAGAGTTTCTCATTCAGGTAATTTTGTTTGATCATTAGAGAAAAGGGCATGTGCACGCCAACGTAAACTAGTTTTACACAACAGCCAATGAGAATTCAGCATTTTGCAGAGTTGCTTTTAAATTGCAGTTACAAAGCGGGCTTACACTGCCATATCATGAGTTCTTATTGGATGTCACTGTTAAACTATTTTACACTGACTGTGTGTGTGTCTCTGTTAAACTCAAATCAATAATAAGCTTTGTTGTATTTTCACAACTCTTTTATTAAACATTGAGAAACTCTTGGATTATTTGATTTTCAGGCTAGTCCATCTGACCCCGAAAACTTCCCGTTTGTTGTCTTGGGAAACAAAATAGACGTTGATGGTGGAAACAGCAGAGTTGTAAGTTACTGCTTTTCCAACGGCATAATTGTATATTACACACGGTGAATAAGGGTCTTTTGATTTTAGAAATGTTCTTATCAGATATTTGTAAAACGGGAAAGCAAAAGCAAAACAGATTTTCTCAAATCAAACAGGCTCTTCAAATTTTCTTCTATAGCTGCCAGAAGATGTCACGTAACTATCTCTATTTTTTGCAGATTTCTGAGAAGAAAGCAAAGGCATGGTGTGCTTCAAAGGGAAACATACCATACTTTGAGACCTCTGCAAAAGAAGGATTTAATGTTGAAGCTGCTTTCCAGTGTATAGCTAAAAATGCACTCAAGAATGAACCCGAAGAAGAAATGTGAGTTTTCTTGAACCGGGTTTTTCTTTATGCATGCCATTATTCATTGGAGTCGACACCTCAAATGTTTAATTTACTTCAGAGGGTAAAGTAATCTCAACTGTTAATGAGAATATCAGTGATTGATTTGCTGAACATGCATTACAAATCGTAGATGTGTTTGAATACCAATTGCTGATTTTCTCAGTAACAGTTGATAGAATAACTAAATCCTTAATCATTAGTATATTAGTTACAACTTCTTACTTTTAAAGCTTCATCTTTACTCATCGAAAGCATGGTTATCATGATTCAGTATCTCTATTTGATACATAACTAAAATCCAATCGAGACAAATTTCTTGTCTGTATCCATTTTGAACATAATGTCTTCTTGATTCCCATAATTTTTCCATGTCGCTCGCTTTTATATAAAATTGTCATATTTTAAGTGTAGTTTTTGTTGATTATACCAGGTATCTGCCCGACACAATCGATGTGGGCAATGGTGGACGACAGCAAAGATCTACTGGCTGTGAATGTTGAGTAGAGAGTTATATGATTGCTTGATGCCAACATAGAAGTGTCCCTCAATGATTATGAGCCATCAGCTATTTTTATTAGCAATGGTAAAACCAAGAACTGTTTTAGTGTGGGTTAGATGTTCATTTTGTTAAAAAATTTCTGGTTATTTGTCTTGATCTCTAATGTTTGTCAAAATATATTCTGAATGAGGAAATGTATACCGGTGAATTTATTGTTGTGTGCTTTTGGGAGCTATTGCATTGATGTTCATAGTTTTATTTTGGCTTTGGATTAATAATGTGAATCCATCGTAGAGTTGTGATTGATTGAGAGTGTATCAAAGGTTTCCATTTATTTATTTTTTCCTAGTAAAGATTTTTTTTCCTAGTAAAGATGATGCAAACACACCATTACAGAATATTCCTAACCATCCTCCCCCTTTATGATTTTCAAAATAAAGATGCCAAAGCATGTAGGATATTCCCAATCCCAAATGTTTAAATGGATTCTACTTATTCGATGTTTGGTTCTGCATTGATAAAAATTAATTTTGTAAAATTGGTTTTATTTAAAAGTAACTGGAATATTAAGTGATCTATGTTTAAATATATTTATGTGAAAATGAATTGAATACTAAATTTTATTATAAAAATCACATTTAAATTTAAAAGCTAAAATTTCAAGTTAAAATTAATTTTTTTATTCCTTAGATGGAAGTTTTAAAATTTATATATAAAAGTTATTAAGTCAATCATTTCATTTCCCAAAGTCAAACTCAAATACAGTACAATGTATCTATCTGCTTCCCTATTCCTCTCCATCTTCCTCTCTTTTTCTCTCTTATCGTCACCTCTCTTTTTCTCTTTCTCGCCATCCTCTCTTTTTCTCTTTCTCGCCATCCTCTCTTTTCTACCTCTACATCACATTTCTTTTTCTCCTCCAATTCAAAATAAAAAACATAAACCCTTCTCTTTCTTTCAAAACAACAAAATCAAAATTCACAAGCATCATCAAACAAAATTAAAAAAAACGAGAGTAATTTTTTTCCTACGAAGAAACGAAGGTGCGCTATCAGCAGTTGGAGAGTTGATGAGTTGATGGTGTGGCTCTGCAGTTGGAGAGTCACGCAGACGCAAGGGAGGGCGCGCGCGTGTGGGCTGAGCGGCGGATCTTCGATTGTAATTTCGACGACGATTTGCGGATTTGATTGTGAATGTATGTATGTTGTTGTCGTATGAAAATTGTTGTGAATGTGTGTTTTTGTTGTGTTTGATGTTGTTGTGTTTGTGATAATAGTGGAATTATGTGATAGATTTTCATGTTAGGTTTTCTACGAAGGAGACAAAATATAGCAAAGATTGTGCTCAAGTTGTTATGAAATCATTAGGTAAATACATAGTTTTTTATAATTCTGTGAATTAGATCATGCCATGTTTGTTTATATTCTAAAAGTTTGTTCTTAATACTACAGATTTTCCTATTGAGAAAATTAAGAAATATGTTGGTGATCCTGATGTGAAGAATCAAGTGCTAAAGATTGAACAAACATCACATGTTAATATTTAATACTTACTGATATGATCATAGGAATTTTAAAGTTTCAATTGCATATATGTAATAACATATATTGTGTTGATGAATTCGTGGTATAAAGATTGGGGGAGGACCTCGTGCAGTGTTGTTAATAGCGGATAGCGGAAAATATCAGATCATCAAAAAATTAATACGAGAAATATCGGATATTGCAAGCGGTTAAAATAATAAATAATCATATATAAAATAAAATATGCCACACATATAAAAGCTACTAACATAAACAAATATTTAAAAAATTCAGTAACATTAAACTGAAAATCTAAAGTTCTAACAACCAAATATTACAAATTTCAAAATCAAAATAATTTAATAAGAATATGTTAATAATATCCATACACATCTTTACATTTTCACTTTATTAACACTATATCTCTTCACAGCCTACAATTTATTACTGGGCACCTCTTCAGAGCCTACTATTTGTTACTCTACACCTCTTCACAATCTACTTTTTGATTTCACCTCCTCACATTCTATATTTTAAATATTTTTTAATATGATTTATTATAAAAATGATCATAATAATATTAATTCTGATATCAAATTCAAAATCGGTATACTAATATACGGGAAAATGGTCGATATGTTGAGCATAACGAAATTAAAACAGAATATCGTCTTTCGTATCAGATAGCAAAATTATGATATAAAAAACCGGTATATCAACGATATAACCGATATTTAACAACACTGATCTCGTGGCGATGTAACCATCTTTCCAACATTGAATTTTACATTTTTTCTTCTTCTTTCAATTGTAGATAATTTGAGAGAGGCACTTTTGTTCTTGTCGCATTTTGTCGGGGATGTACATCATGTTTGTTCTTCTCCAATTCAAAATCTAATGAACAATCTAATCACCATTAATGATGACCACACATATATATATATATATATATATATATATATATATATATATATATATATATATATATAATTTCTTAATTGACTCCATATTATCATGTGAAATTTTAAAAATATTCTTCAAAATTAAAAATATATTTTTGATTCGCACCTCTACCCATATATAATTCATTTGTGTTGAGATTCATTCCATTTTACAATAAAATGTATTTCGAAAATACATTTCTCATAAATATATTTCCAGTATCAAAATGGAATAAGGCGTCACCATTTCTCATTAATAGAGCATTGAAAGACTGTAAAGTGAGTTTTAACATTATTCTATTTGCAAATAGATTCAGGTAATTTTGGTAAACAAAACTGTAGTTTCTAAAATAGAGTGAGTGTTATATTTTCTTGTGTTGTTTACTTGATTAGACATTTTCTTACAAATCAGTTCTTATGTGTTTTTTAGTCTTTTGATGTGATGGTTAAATTGTCTTGTTGGTGCATAAGAATTGTATGTTATATCTAATTGGTTGTGTTGTTTATGTGTATTTTTGCAATTTATATTTATCACTTCATTTTATTTGTAACCGAACTGGCAGTTGTTTATGAAAAATTATATTTTATCAGAGTTTAGTTATTCCTACAGTAGTAGTAATCCTTGATATTTTGAGATAACATAAATTTTAGAAACTACATCTTACTGCTATTTTAGCAATCAAAGTACTCTTGTAACCATCGTAAAAACGCCTGCATAGGTTCAAAATAGCCCAAGTGCTAATTTAAATTAATATATTTAAATTCAGGTTAAATATATTCTCCTGAAATGTTAGCGAGTTTAGATTTTAGTTTCTGGTAAAGTTTTTTTTAATAATTTTTCTCTTATGTTATGTAGATTCTTTCACATAACACCACATTAGTCAGGTGTCATAGAATTTTCATTTACAATTTGAAATTCTCTCAACGCGCTATTTTTATATACACACATCACATTTTCATTTACTTAATTGATAGCATAGCTGGTATATACATTGTAAAAGCCCCCTTGTAAAACTTAAGGTTCATGTGAAGATCTTTGCGATGCGAAGAGGACGACGAAGACGAAGACCAAGCATCACATATACGACGAAGACAAAGACGAAGCTTGCAATGTCTAAAGTAAGTTGATTTTCAAACTTCATCACAGTTAACATGAAATATAAGGGTAACGTTTTGATTATTGGGTTTGATTTATTCACAGGATTTTCAACCTTTTACTGTTACTTTTCACCATGGGAGTAAATTTATTAGGTTAATCCGACTGAAATTATTTACAGAGGGGGAGTTGATTCGAGTGTAAATGGACTTGAAGTTACTAATTGGACAATGGATAATATTCTGAAGTTGGTGAGTGGGCGAGGGTATAAGGATGGTACATTTCGATTGTGGACTAAAGTTTTAGAGATTCAAGAAGGATATATTTTGATAAGAAAGGATGATGATGCATACGATTTTGCATCATTCTTCAGTGCAATGAATATCATTGAACATTTATTTGTGGAACACTCTCTGGGAGACATTGATGCTGATGAAAGGGAACCTAATTGTGTTACTAAGGTGAATGAAATGGATGGGTTGGAAGAGAAGATGGTTGAAGGATTAGATGACAATGAAGATGAGAGAGTTATTGCTCTTCTTGATGGCTTTGAAGGAATCGATGTTACATTGCCATTGAATGAAGATGTAAGTCTTAGTGGGCTTTTTGGTAGGCCCAATAAGAAAGTGGATGAGGATGAATACAATAGTGATTAGTTGAATAATGATGACCCGAATGATTCTTGTGATGATGAAAGGCCCAAGTATGAAAGATTTAGAAAAGAGAACCCAAACAAGGACTATAAGTTTAAGTTGGGTATGAAATTCAATTCACTTGTGGAATTTAGGGAGGCTATTCGTGAGTGGTCAGTCCTCAATGGGAGGGAAATTACCTTTGTAAAAATGAAAGCTATAGAGTGAGAGTAAAATGTAAGGCTAAATGTGGCTTTTTGGTCTTATGCTCTAGAGTGGACCACAAACACACTTTTGCAATAAAAACACTTGTGGATACCCACACGTGTGCTAGGATTTTAGATAACAAATTTGCCCTCTAGATGGGTGGCTAAGCATGTGGTAAAGAGGATGCAAACTTTTGATAATGTTAGGATAAGAGACACTAATGCAAGATATCAGACAAAAAAATTATGTAGGGATTACTGTTGCAAAAGCATGGAGGGCTAAGTTAATGGCTAAGAAGGTAATTGAAGGTGATGCAGATAATCAGTATGCATCCATATGGAGGTATGCAACTGAATTAACAAAGGTGAATCCTGGTAACACTGCGAAGATCAATGTTGAAAGACCTACTTCTACCATACAACCAAGGTTTGGACCCTTTTATTTTTGCTTTGACGGTTGTAAGAAAGGATTTATTAATGGATGCAGACTCTTCGTGGGGGTTGATGGATGTTAGATAATGAAGTGTTCAACAGTGGTCATTAGTTGTCAACATGGTCCATGACTGAGCAATTCCAAGTGACACATAGTTACAAAACCAAGAATTTATTGTTGACATAACTAAAAGGTCATGTAGCTGCAACTTCTGGGAGTTAGTAGGAATACCTTGTAGGCATGATGTGGCAGCTTTGAGTTATAGGAAGCAAAACCGAAATGACTTTGTTGATGAGTGTTACACCAGAGATAATTTTTCACTTTGTTATAATTTTTCAATAAGTCATATCAATGGTCAGGATATGTGGCCAGAAGTAGAAATGGAACAAGTTTTACCACCATCATACAAAAAAGGTCCAGAAAGGCCTAAGAAGGCAAGGATAACATAATTTGGAGAGGAAGGTGCAAGAAGAAGAAGAACTGGGGTTGCATATAAGTGCACAGAATGTGACAAGTTTGGTCACAATGCATTGACTTGCAAGCCATTGACACATGACCCCAATGCTCTGAAAAGAAAGGTATAACTGTTTTTAATAATTCATTATGTTGTACAAATTGTTTGTGACTAATCTAACATGTTACTAATTTGTGTTGAGGAAAGTTAAAACTAATGTACAAAGTGCAATGCCTACTGATGGACAGAGTACAATGGAAGCTGGTGGGCAGAGTTCAATGCCTATTGATGGACAAAGTACAATGGAAGCTGATGGACATAGTACAATGGCTACTGATTCTGCATTGCCCAATGACACTCAAACTGAGACTGACATAGTTGTACCAACTGTTATGAGTCAGACTGGATCTGCTCTGACTAACTCAATCCCAGGACATCAAAGAAATAGAAAGGAAATAAGCCAGTTACAAAAAGAAGGCAAAGTAAAAAGATCAAGTTGAGTTGGTTTGAGAAACCAATTACATGCCAAGGATCTAGTGAGCAGCCAATTACCATATCAGAAGTTGAAGAGAAATCAAGTTCAAAAGACTATAAACTAAGAGTGAAAACAAGGTTTATGAAGACATGGAAGACCAAAAAAATGAGAGACTAAGTATTATGTTATCTTGTAATAGACTTAAGCACTATATGTGCATTTTGTATCAATGTGTGCTTGTTTCAAATTTTAATGTTGTAATAGACCTATGCACCAAGTGTGTCTTTTGTGTCCTTTTAGTAATGTTGTAATAGACCT